CGCTCATAGAATGAGCTTAAATAAGTATTTACCAAGTGAGTGGGAGAGTAAATGAATTCTTTGCTTCCTTCACAAATATCTGTTCCTAGAAATATTAATGTCACCTCTTGCTTTTATTTGACTGGTGTGCCTCATATGCCACATTTGTTTTTTAGATTGTAACATTTTTTCTTCTTGTACTTGATCAGAACATGATTTTTATATAGCTTTATGTATTTCATGTAAATATTAATATAGTTTCAAATACAATTTCACTAACTCATGAAAGGTAAATATAGTGACTCCTTTTAGAAGAAGTGTTTCTGGAACTTACATTATAAACTTAATCATCATTTATACTCTTACATAACCATATTTCAGCAATTGAACTTACTATTTTTCCCACAACCCTGTTAACCCAAAACTTCTAACTTGTGTTAAAAAGCAATGCCCACTTTATGTCATTATGTTGCCCATTTTGGTCTTTGTCTCCAGGGTTAAGGTTTCCAATTGAAATTTTATCACTGAATTTTCTTCCCTTAAGCAAAAAAGAGTTTAAAAACATTATTTGCATGGGGCTCCTGGGTGGTTAAATTGATTAAGTGTTGGACATCGGCTCAGGTCATGATATTGTGGTTTGTGAGTTTGAGCCCCACATCAGGCTCTGCTGACAGCTCAGAGCCTGGAGCCTGCTTCCAAATTTGTGCCTCCTTCTCTCTCTGCCCCTCCCTGCTCACACTCTGTCTGTCTCTCAAAAATGAATAAACATTAAAAATTAAAAAAAAATTTTTTTTAAAGTAGGATATTGAGTAGCAGATAACCAAATACCTAATCCAGTAAACTCCTTTTTTTTTTTTTTTTTAAGTGTATTTATTTTGAGAGAGACAGAGACAGCACAAGCAAGGGAGGGGTAAAAGAGAGGGAGAATTCCAAGCAGGCTCTGCACCATCAGCACAGAGCCCATTGTGGGGCTCTAACTTGTGCAACTGTGAAATCATGACCTGAGCCAGATGTTTAATGGACTGAGCCACCCAGGTGCCCCCAGGAAACTTTAAAACAGATTCACAGAAACAGTAAGACTGACCCCCTGTTCTACCCCATAGAAACCATGTGGGTGAGATTCTGAGAGTTCTCACAAATAGTCCCAAATCTGAAAGAAGCAAACTGAATGAGTATCATTGTTGTTTCACCCTCTTAATTCAAGAGTCAGAGAAATTAGAAATTGTTGCTGAGGAGGATTGGGTGAAAAGAGGGAAAATCAATTGAATGGCTGACTCTCTCTGTCCAGAAGTCAAGGCTTCTTTTAATTTGGGATATGCATTGACCACTGGGGTAGAACACTTAAAATCTCAGAGGAGAGCAGAGTCTGGGTAATTTATTCTAATAGACTGCATACTCCTCCATCTGAGCCCCAGCATGTCCTCAGACTTAAGAAAAGTGGATAGAAGATGAAATACCAGCTCTCACAATAAAGCTAGGATGGAAGGATAACTTGTCTTAGATATTCCAGAAAAAGAATGAAGAAATCACCCACACTTTATAAATGTCTGGAGGGTAATGTCTAATCACCAGCAAGATGAAAGAAATGATGTTGTAGCTAACACATCATATTCTATGATGGAAAAATAAAGAGGAAGAAAACAGCTTGTAAATGCTGTCAACTATCATAGAGGAAAAATAAGGAGATTCCTTCCAGCTGCTGCATGCTGCACGTCAACTTAATGAGGATTTGAATTCAGAAAAACAAACTGAGAGACAGGAAAATAACAACAATGAGATGAAATGGGAGATTACACATTTAAGGAAATGTAAATAAATTATATACAGCAAAAACTAGAAAGAAAATTGAATTACTGACAGCTTTATAGACATTCCAGCGAATACAGGTTGAAATAATTAGAAAAGCAAAGACACATGGAAGACAGGAGATGCAATATAAAGATAATTGCTGTCGCTGAAGAAAAGAACCTAACAAATAGGACAAACGGATTGAAATAGAACAAGAGGTTTCAGGAAAATTGTATAGCTGTTCAACAAGACCTGATTTGATCAAGTTATTGAACTTTTAGGATAAAGGACAAATTATTGGATGGAAAGCCTCTCAGTTCTGTGCCTCCTCTGGCTGGGCTCATGTTCAGCCTCCACAGAGCCTTTGCCATGATCTTCGGATGGTCAGATACTGTAATTGGAATACCAGGACCCTGTGGGTGGTGGGGCCTGTGGCTTGTGCTGTGATTGTCATTGTGATAGCAGCCATCAAGGAGAGGTTTGTGAGAGAGATGGCTGCAGTTCTGAAAGACACCTGCTTCTGAATTCCTGAAGTTTGTCTTTGCTTATCTGTGTGTCCAGGTCTTAGAACTAGTTGTTCAATATTCTGTTATCTTGAACTGAGCTCCCAGAAGAATTTATTTAGTGCTTGGAATTTCTTATGTTTTATTGCATCAATATTGTTCTTGCCTTGCGTTTGCTTTTCTGGGTTGTGAAAAGAGTCACAGCCTGTTATGTAAGAACTTTGGCTTGTTCATCTGTGCCAGGTTATTGGGACCTGCCAGTACCTTAGTGTCTCTGACAGGCTCTTGAGCTGACTCATTGACTATGAGGAACAAAATGCGTAAGATACAGATTGAGCACCCTCTGTGTCATTCGAAAAAGAAGTAGATTAAATCATCTAGGGGTTTGGGCGCTCTCTGTTTCTTTCCTCTTTCAAGCTTACAGACGGAACATTAGGTATATTAGTATTTTTAGAAGCCATGCCAGTCCTGAGGAAGGACCTCTCACAACCAGAACTCCATAAAAGTATTATAGTGGTATGCAGTCCATTTTGTAAAGACATTACCCTGGATGGATTTTAGTTATTTCTACCTAAGTAAAATATAATAGTGTGACTTTAAAAAAGAATAGAGAAAGGAGAGAGAGGGAGAAGGAGAGAGAATGAGAATGAGGCTTCCAAACAGGAGAGCAAGCCACATGAAAGGGGGAAAAATCAGACTAGCCTTGGGCTTCTCCATAGCAACATTCACTGCAGTATTTTTCAAGGGAGCAGCATCTGCAAAGTTCTAAAGGCAAAGGATGGCCCAAGATATTATACCCAGCCAAGATGTCATTCAGCTGTAAAGCTAGCAAGCAGGTATTCTTTTTTTTTTTCTTTTATGTTTTATTTATTTTTGAGAGAGAGACAGAGTGTGAGCAGGGGAGGGGCAGAGAGAATGAGACACAGAATCGGAAGCAGGCTTCAGGCTCTGAGCTGTCAGCACAGAGCCCAATATGGGGCTCAAACCCATGAACAGTGTGATCATGACCTGAAGCAAAGTTGGACACCCAACCTTGACTGAGCCGCCCAGCTGTCCCCCAAGCAGGTATTCTTAAACATGAGAGAATTTAGGGAAAGGAGCACATATGAGCTCCACTAGAAAAAAAACCACTCAGCAGCAAAATTAGGAATTAAAGACTCAAGGAGAAGTTGTGGTAAGAGGACGGTGAGGAGATTGCTTCAGCTAAAATACAGATCCAGTGCCAAAGAACTATGGTATCACAGTTACAGAATGGACTGTGACTGTTACAAACTGGGACAGTGTAAAAATTACATAACAAAAATTGGGAGAAAAAATGGGAGGAAATGTGAGTGCTAAGGTTTTCAACTTTCAAAGCAGGAAGTTAATGGATTCTGTCCAAAATTAACCTAATTTTGTATGTAACTTAAAAACTAAAGTGAATCCAACCTCTAAATAATTTTTCATGTATTTTTAAAAATGTGGAATACTTAAAAAACACATAAAGTAATAACTGGTATTAATATATTATTCAGTAAATGTCCCCATTTTGTTTTAGATCATGTATAAAATAAGACAAAAGGAAAGGTTTAGAAAAGAATAATGAATACTAATGCATACACCACTAGGTTAGGAAATAAGGCATTCCTAATATAATAATATAACATCCCCACATGTTCCACCCCATCTCAGAGATAATCAGTATCCTGATGTTGTAGCATTTGTTCACATACACGTCTTTTTACTTTTGGTAGATATGAACATATTTCATAATTAATAAGTTTTCTATTTTTAGTCATTATAGAAACAGTATTCTGCAGTTTGGTTTTTTAGCTTAGGATTGTTTTGAGATTTATGTTGAGAATGTGTTGTTTGAGTGTATTTATTTTTCACTCTATACTTTTATTATATAGACATAATCCTTTTTCTATTGGTGGACATTTATTTGTTTCCTTTTTTTGCTACTTTGTTGATAAAACTTTCTTCTTTTTTCTTGTTTACATAATAACTTTTCATAATAAAAAAAACTTGGATTATTCAGGGAAACATAGAAAATAAACATTTATTTAAAGTAGAACAATAGCATTGGTTTCTTTTTGACTTCTTTTTTCTATTAAATTATATATAAATTGACACTAAAGTATCAACTGTAGCATGATCCCCTTTGTATAAATATATATTGTCAGTGTATTTTTCTATATATATACATCAAAAATGTCTGGAATGATGTTTACTTAGTGTTTGTATTTTAAAAGTCTTTAAATGAATCCATAAGTGTAATTGAAATGTTAAATGATAATCCAGCTTCCTTGAAAATACGACTTTAAAAAAATCAATTAGATAAAGTAAAGGAAAAGTCAGGAGTTTTCTTTTACTTAATTACCATTCCTTTTTCAGTACCTGTCTTCAATTTCACATGATTAAATGAAAGAGAAGTTATGGCAGTAAATGTCCCTTGAGTATAATGCAACTTGCAAGTAATTTAGACTGCGTGTGGAGAGGTTTTCAGGAAGCATTAGAAACTTCCAGTAGATTTTTTTCCTCGTCTTAGGGCTGTGCAGCCCAGCCTTGCTTCCCAAGCTCTGATATGCCCCCATGGACCCAGATGTTAGGTTTGTTTGTTTGTAGAGGTGCCTTCTTGTATGCATGGCACGTTTAATTAGCGTCTCCAAACTGTATTATATCACAAATAAAAAAGTATAAGATACTCTGTTTTGTCATTTGGGTGAAAATATGATGTTTGTTTTGTAGGTATGACCTTGCTTCTAGGGAGTGGCTTGCCCTGAACCGTTCTGTGAACAATGTGGTTGTTAGATATGGCCATTCTTTAGCATTATACAAGGTAAAATGTCTCCACTCTGTACTAAGCTAGAAACTCAAGTCTTCCACACTTACTTTTTATTGTATTATGTGATTGAAAAGCTATGTAATGTTGGGTTTTTGTCTCTAATCTTTTTTATTGTGGTAAAATACACATAACATGAAATTTACCATCTTAACCATTTTCAAGTGTACAGTTCAATGGTATAAAATACATGCCTAATGTGCAACTATCACCACCATCCATCTCTGTAACTCTTTTCATCTTGTAAAACTGCAACTCTATGCCTACTAAATAGTAACTTCCCATCCCACCCCCACCCCCCACCCCCAGCCCCTGGCAACCACCATTCTACTCTCTGTCTCTATAATTTTGACGTCAGTGTTGGTTTTTAGTTGGGGGAAAACTTACTATTCGTGGGGTATGGGGAGCTATTTAATTGGCTAGGTTGTAAGTGGAAATTAAAGTTGAAACCAATTTAACCTGAGAGATTTTAATGGACTCAAATTATACTGGGGTATTATGATTATAGTACTAAATGGTGAAAAATTTATACTGTATAAATTAGCTTTTATGTTCATTAGCAAGTTTAGCCAAGAATAGCCACCTTGCAATATAACTGAATAATCACTTTCATTTCCTTGTTTTTGTGGTTTATGGTAGGATAAGGGAACTTTTCAACTTTATCTTCCCAACACATTTTATACCGTTAGAGATCTTGTATGAGGAAGTCCAAGAACAGTGGTGAAGTGTTGGGAGATACAGAATATGATTTGTTTCATTTTATCTTGTTCCTTTCTCCGGTCTTTTCCTAATAAGTCACTGAAAGGTGCATTTCACTAGCACTTTTTAAGCTAAGAATAATATTGAGGTTTTGAACTTCTCCTTTTCCTTCCCAGATTTGATCCTTTTGATGTGTTTTAGAATTTTGTTTACATTTTTTCCCCTAGGATAAAATTTACATGTACGGAGGAAAAATTGATTCGACAGGGAATGTGACCAATGAGTTGAGAGTGTTCCATATTCATAACGAATCATGGGTGTTGTTGACCCCTAAAGCCAAAGAGCAGTATGCAGTGGTCGGGCACTCAGCACACATTGTCACATTGAAAACTGGCCGAGTGGTCATGCTGGTCATCTTTGGTCATTGCCCTCTCTATGGATATATAAGCAATGTACAGGAATATGACTTGGGTAGGTGTACTTTTTCTAGTGATTCTTTTAAAACCTTTATCCGTATTGTTTTGACTGTTCAACAAGAGTCCACCTAACTTTGACCCAGTACTTTATCTTGAAATGCAGTGAATGTTGCTATATTACTATTGAAATTCAGATCCTTGCTGCTGCTAAGTAGTATATATTTGTTACTGTCAGTTTGGCGAGGAGCCAAAGATGGCACTAAATGCTTTAGGTGTTGGAAATAAAGTAAATAAGTAAAAGTGATTTGGAACTACAAGTATTCTGACAACAACAACAAAAAATTAGACCACCCTTTAGAGATTGGGTTAATGGACTGTGATTTCCCCTTAATGTGTAATCTTTCCATTGGTTAAATTTTATTATATCTGCTGTTTTGGTGCAGGAGTACTGCCCATAATTGATAGTTTGAGAAAGTAGGCCCATAAAGTACATCTGGGTATTGGTCACTGAAGGTCACAGGGTAGTAAGTGTTCAACTGAGGGGAATCTGAGTCTTTTAAATTTAATGTAATTATTTTCCTGCATGGTATATTAGACCATCAGATCATTTAACAGGTTGATGTTTGGCCACCTGGTTTTGTTATAAGTTTTAGATGGCTTTCCTTTAAAAATTAAAAGGTAAAAGAAATTCATATGTATCAAGTCTCCTGAAATCTCTCATTGTAAACTAATTGGTCATTTAAAGTATTAGGGGAGGAGGAGCCTGCAACATTTGCCTTTAACTGTTTTCCCCTTCCAGCTAAGAACACATGGAGTATATTACATACCCAGGGTGCCCTTGTCCAAGGGGGCTATGGCCACAGCAGTGTCTATGACTACAGGACCAGGGCCCTGTACGTACATGGCGGCTACAAGGCTTTCAGCGCCAATAAATACCGGCTCGCAGATGATCTCTACAGATACGATGTGGACACCCAGATGTGGTGGGTGCTTTTTCTTGAGCTTTTACTCTAAGGTGTGAATTCTGGCAATTGTCCGTAAGATATTGTGTTATATTTTTGTTTTCAGGCCTAGCAGATAATTCTCTTCAGCGTTGTAGATAGGAAAGTTGGGAAAGAAGCAGAAGGTAATAGTGTAGCTAGTTTATTTTGTTGCATTGTTCTATAATTTTGTAGTAGATTGATTAGAAGATGCTTAGTATTTTTTGACTGGTTTTTCAATTTTCATACACTCAGTACCACTGTAAAATTTTAGCTCTTCAGAATCCTGAGGAGTCAGTTGTTCTACAAAGCTGAGCTTATGCACATTGTTGTAATTAAGTAGAATCTATCCATTTTTTAACCTTTTCTTGATGACCAAAGTGTCATCATTGGGGTTAGTTACTGGCGTCATTACATGAAATCATCAAACAGAGGTGGTCTCAGGACCTAAATTAGAGCAGTACTCCCTCTCTTATAAATTGAACTATATAAAGTATGCTAATTTTAATAAATGTAAAGCAGATTTGAATGATGAAATAATGTGATTATATAAAGCATGGTTTCTCTTCTTTTTGTATTTCCTTACATATTTGAGACCATGCTATGGATACCAGTTTACATTCTGTCAGTCATTAAAATGTCTGTCATTTTAGTGGCTGTGTAAATACTCTGTCGTGTGGGTGTACTAAGCTTGAACAGTTGGAAGTTCTGGTTTCTAGTTTTTGTCTTATTAATACGGCATTATACATAAGCTTCTGTCTGTATTTTATGTGATTTCTACCCAGAAACTGGAATTATAAGGTCATAAGTTATGATCATTTTTAAGACTCCTAATGTGCCTTGTCAAAATTCTCATAGACCTTTAAGGTTTTACATATTTATTTATTGTTGAAAAAGTTACTTATATATAAGGAAAAAATCTAGAAGTATTTACACATTTGGTTCTAAAGTTAAGAAATTGGTTGTGTTTGCATTAGCAAATAGATGATAAATATCCTAAAAAACTAACCTTGTATTTATTATTTTTAAATAAACTCAAAAGGACCATTCTTAAGGACAGCCGATTTTTCCGTTACTTGCACACAGCTGTGATAGTGAGTGGAACCATGCTGGTGTTTGGAGGAAACACACACAATGACACATCCATGAGCCATGGTGCCAAATGCTTCTCTTCAGATTTCATGGCTTATGACATTGGTAAGTTTCCCAAAACCATTTTAGTTTTGAAGAATCTTCTTTTGTCTATAAGCAGCATTTTATTTGTGTATGTATGTCTGTATGTTTATTTTTGAGAGAGAGAGCATGAGTGGGGGAAGGGAAGAGAGAGAGAGGGAGACAGAGAATCTGAGCCAGGTTTCTCACCTGTTAGTGCAGAGACCAATGTGGGGCTGTGACCCATGAACCACAAGATCATGACCTGAGCGGAAGTCGGATGCTCAACTGACTGAGCCACCCAGGCACCCTATAAACAACATTTTAGAAGAAACTGAAAATATTGGTAGTTGAAAATGGTCAGGCCATTTGAAAGAGGTCCAAATGGCATTCTAAAAATTTTTTTAAATATTTATTTATTTTTGAGAGAGAGAACACATGAGAGTGGGGGTGGGGAGCAGAGAGAGAGGGGGACAGAGGATCTAAAGTGAGCCCCACATGGGGCTCACGCTCACAACTGCAAGATCATGACCAGAACCAAAGCTGGATGCTTAACCGACTGAGCCACCCAGCCACCCCCCAAATGTTAGTTTTTATATTCATATGACAAATATTGCACATCTATTAAAAAGTATTACTTCTATATTAAGTTCTTGTTTATATTTTTATTTAAATTTTTGATATTTTTCTATATTGAGTTCTATTAAGTGAAGTCACTCTCATCAATTGGTTGAATGTTAATTTTTGAGGATGGGTTGGGGTGAGCAGCCTCTGTGTTACAAATGAATGACTTATATAATAGTGTTATGTAGTTGTTACCACCAGCATTGTGTTAAGTTGGTTTAACCAAAAGCTTTATCTCATTCCCTAAAAATTGGTTTTACACATTCTTGATGTAATACTTTTTGACATGGAACTTTAAAAAAAATTTTGGTGTGGTAATATACTTGACCAGAAGAGGGCAGTATGTGTTCATGCAAAACAAATACTAGAAGTTCTCTTGTATCATCAGATGTTCTTTTTTAACAGACATATATGTGCCAGCCACTAAGCTCGGAGATTGTAGATGAGTAAATTACAGTGCTGGGACTCATAGTAGGGGAGGCAGAGAACAGACGATATAATTGCAATTCAGGGTGTTGCTTGCTCTTAGAAGAATACATGAAAGCATCTTTGGGCATTCTTTAACTCAAGAGAGTAAGGATTATGGTCAGGGAAATTCTTGAGGTCAGATCCAAATTCTTTGGACCTTGAGGTCAGGTCCAAATTCTTGAGGATGGTCCATCCAGGCTGGGTCCCCAGGAAGTCAGCTAGGTGAAGTTAGGCAGCACTTGTACCCTATTGCTGGGTATCTGGTGTGCCCATGGTAGAAGGTGCTTTTTACCAAGGCTGGAAGTCGAAGGAGAGGGACTGGGTTGGGAGGAAGGGAATAATTGGGTTTAGGTGCATGTTCAGCTGGAGATGACTGTGGGACTGAGCCATACAGAGGTCAGTGGGAAGCCTTAGGCAGGGGCAAGCCTCTAGGGAGCATGTGTCATCAGGGATGAGCAGACAGCCAGAGAATGGATGGATAAAGAACTTTGAAGGAGAGTGGAGACTGTGAAAACATGTCAGAGAAGCAGGAGGAAAGTGAGGCAAGATTGGTGACCTGTGGGGGAGCGGTTAACAATGGCTGCAGAGGAATTAAGTAAAACAAGGACTCTAGGGCCTGTTGGATTTGACAACAAAGATGTCCTTTGTTAGCCTGTAGTCAGGGAGGAGGAGTAATCCAGATAGCAGTGATGTAAGGTTAGATGTACACCGTGAATGTTAAGTGTTTTAGTGAAAAAAGAAAAGAGAAAAAAACCCAACCCACTTCTCTGTGAAGGGAAGAAAAGGCTTATATAAGTTGAGTGCCTCCTTGGGTACATTTAAATGCTGTGGTGAAAGCCAGGTGGAACAAGAGAAAGCAGTTCCCGCCATCCTGTGGTTTTAGGGAGGGAAGCAAGGTGGGTGGGCAGGAAGCTATGAGAGTTGGTGGCCTCTGTTCTCTGTGTGAAGAAGACCACAGAGTCTAGGCTGGAGAGAAGGAAGTGAAAGCTGTTATTGTCAGAGTTGAATAAAGGTCTGGATCAAGTGGAAGAACCTTTGCTTAGTGAGTATGAATGTCTGAGTGTCTCTGAGAGGGAGTGTGAGTAAGGTTGGCAGCGTTCTGCAGCACCAGTTGGATTAAGGTACAGAAGGGAAGTTGCTGACATGCAACAAAACAGAAACATTGGTAGGTCTAGGGAACCTAGAAAAGGACTTTAAAAAAAATTTTTTTTTTTTAACGTTTATTTATTTTTGAGACAGAGAGAGACAGAGCATGAACGGGGGAGGGGCAGAGAGAGAGGGAGACACAGAATCGGAAGCAGGCTCCAGGCTCTGAGCCATCAGCCCAGAGCCCGACACGGGGCTTGAACTCACGGACCGCGAGATCGTGACCTGAGCTGAAGTCGGACGCTTAACTGACTGAGCCACCCAGGCACCCCAAGGACTTTTTAAAAAACTAGGTGAAGTTTGAACTGGAAAATAATTATGGAACCCACATATTTTACTTACATAAGTTTTGAAAAATGTCAAATTAAGAAACACTCTAGTGGGTAAAAGTGATAGGCAACAGAGTGAGTGATGTGAGTGTTAAGGATGTTACATGCATTCGTGAATTAGAATTGCCATATTGTCCTGCCTCCCATGCCCTGTTGTTCTGCTGCTGCTGTATTTTACCTCCGAAATAATGGTGTGATTAAGAAAAACTGAGAGATACGTTTTATGAGTTGTGCTTGTTGTGGTCTTCTTCCCAAAGAAGATGTGAGTTCCTAACTGATTATGAATAGCAATTCCTTCTGAAATGCGTTTTTCTTGCTCCTAGCTTGTGACCGCTGGTCAGTGCTTCCCAGACCTGATCTTCATCATGACGTCAACAGATTTGGCCACTCGGCAGTCTTACACAACAGGTAATTAATTGGAGAAGAAGCATTTGCTCCTTTTCTCTTGTGTTTAAAATGAAAGTGAGGTTACACATGAGATAGTGGAGTTGGACTTACGTATTATTTGCAGGATTCCCTCAGCCCATTAGTTTTTCACGGAATTTTGTGCATACGGATTTCCTGATTTATATTTAAAATATCTGGTGTGGGGAAATTCAAATCAAAACCACATTGAGATACCACCTCACACTGGTCAGAGT